TATATATATATGTCTATATATATATATATATATATATATATATATATATATATATATATATATATATATATATATATATATATATATATATATATATATATATATATATATATATATATGTGTGTGTGTGTGTGTGTGTGTGTGTGTGTGTGTGTGTGTGTGTGTGTGTGTGTGTGTGTGTGTGTGTGTGTGTTTACATTGTATTATATAATAATAATAATAATAATAATAATAATAATAATAATCAACACTGGGGGTTTCTGGCAGTAATATAATAATAATAATAATAATAATAATAATAATAATAATAATAATAATAATAATAATAAATTACTCATAATTATGAAATCTACTTTCTGCAAATAATAATATTAATAACAATAATAATAATATATTTACATTATTTTATTCATTATTATTAGTAATAATAATAATAATAATAATAACAATAATAAGATTTATTTTTCCTATCTTTTTCTTATTGTTCTTTTAAATAAATAAATAAATAAATAAATAAATAAATAAATAAATAAATAAATCAAGAAAGAAAGTTTGTTCTAGTGAGCATCATGCATTGAAATAATTTGAGAAATAGATTTTATAATTGCAGATTAAAATAAGCTAGATAAGTTAGCTAAATAAGTTAGCTTATTTACATGTTTATTCAATTAAACCTATTCTGTTTTTTTTTTTCGGGCACCTTTAATGTCATTATCACAGCTCTGATTTAAGCTGATCTGATACAGTATTTATTAGGTGTGTGATTTGCTTTCACTGAACTCTAACCACATTTCTTTCACATGAAGAGTTTGGGTTCATCCCGCTTCATCAACATCCTCATCATCAGCTCAAAACAGCATAATCCTCTCTCTTCCCTCCAGTCCTCCATCTCTCTTCTGAAAGTCCATGTATATATTCTCTCATGTGCCTGCAGTCATTTTCTCACGTTACCTCGAACCCGACACAGTCAGCCTCATGACAGTGACCTGCAGGATCTCAGGTAGAACCGTGTCTCCCGTCCATGTCTGTCACATTAACAACTCTGCTTCCAAATGCCACTAACACACGCTTTCTCAAACCCTGACCTCCTCTCAGCTAAAACAAATGGCCAGGTTTTCAAAACGCTGCATTTGCAAATGAAAACCTCCATTCATGAGGATCTCTGATGTTGAGAAACCTGAATCCTTACAGCTTTCTGCTGATGTCTTGATATAAATACAGTGGGATAAATAAGTATAGAACACATCAATATTGTTCTCTCGGAAAGCATATTTCTCAAGGTGCCGTTGACTTGAAATTTTCACTGGATGCAAGACATTTTCAGCAAGACAATGATCCAAAACACAGCCTGGGAAACTCTCACAGGGGTTTCTGAGTAAGAAAATCAAGCTGTAGAATGGCCCAGCCAATCACCTGAGCTATATCCAATTAAAAAATACAAATTAAAGATCCAACTTGATAGACGAGACCCACAGAATTATCAAGATTTTTACACTCTGTTGAGGTCTGTAAAAAACTCATACTTGAGCAATTCATCACTTCATTCTTCATGCAAAGTGTCTTCAAGCTGCTGTCACCAAAAAAAACCTTTTATAAAAAATATTAAATACATTTCAGTAGTTCAGTACTTCCTCCTTATGTCATTCCGTTGTTATTACACAACTCATTTCTTTTGTTTTATTTTTATGTTTGTATTGTTTGGGTTTTTACCAAAATCTGGTTCAATTCCATGTCAACAGCTCTTTTAGAAAAATTATTCCTAGGAAAAACATGATGTGTTCAATACTTATTTCCTCCACTGTACATAATGCACAATTTTTGTAATGTGTCACATTTGGCAGGAAGTTTTATTGCTACTGACGTTTCTACCACCGTCTCCCGGGTAAAATGGTAGTGTTGGCAGGTATGATTAAAAAAATCTATAATTTTTGATAGATACAAATAGTATTTTATTCTGTATTTTTTTAATTTAGCTTTTAAAAGTTAATGGTTATTAGTAATGTGCTATTAACATGCTTAGTAATATGCTAAAGAAACCTTCATTAAAATCGATTGTCTCAGGTCTCCTGTTTTAATATATATTAAATATAATAATAATAATAATAATAATACTAAATAATAATAATAATATTAATAATAATAATTATTATTATTATTATTATTATTATTATTATTATTACTAATAATAATGAATAAAATAATGTAAATATATTATTATTATTGTTATTAATATTATTATTTGCAGAAAGTAGATTTCATAATTATGAGTAATTTATTATTATTATTATTATTATTATTATTATTATTATTATTATTATTAT